TACATTTCTTACCAAGCATTGCAGCCTCCTCCTTTGTTTACCCTTCACATCCCTTCCCAGCCTCCCCCCCATGAAATATATTCTTAAAATAGGTTCATTATAGAAAAATCAGCATATAAAGATAAGTCAAAGTGAGAAAACAAAAATATCCTTAATCAAGAGCTATAATCTTGCCAGGTGCCAGTGGCTCATGCTTGTAATCCTAGCTACTCAGGAGGCTGAGATCTGAGGATTGCAGTCCAAAGCCAGCCCGGGCAGGAAAGACCATGAGACTATTATCTCCAATAAAGCACCAGAAAACCAGAAGTGGTGCTGTAGCTCAAGTGGTAGAGTGCTCACCTTGAGCTGAAGAGCTGAGGGACAGCGCCCAGGTGCCCCCCCCCCAAAAGAGCTATAATCTTATTTTTTCTTTTTGAGTTTAACTTGGGGTACAGCAAACTCATGCCTGCTTGAGTGTTTTGTTGATTCCCTATTTTCCCTTGCTAAAACATGTGTGCATATGCTAGTTGCCTGAAAAGAAAGCACATTATAAAACCCTGTACTGGGTGCTGGAGGCTCATGTCTGTAATCCTAGCTGAGGAGGCTCAGATCAGAGGATCGTGGTTACAAGCCAGCCCTGGCAGGAAAGTCCATGAGACCTCCAATAAAAACTACTAAGGAAGTGATGCTGTGGCTCAAGTGGTAGAGCACTAGCCTTGAGTAAAAGAAGCTCAGGGACAGTGTCAGGCTCTGAGTTCAAGCCTAGGAGCAGCACACACAAAAAGGAGCGGGGGTTGGAGGCCTGGCTCAGGTTGTAGAGTGCCAGCCAATGAGTGAAAACAATACTCAGATATCAAGCTCAAGTCCTGGTCTCTGACAAAAAACAAAAAACCCTATGGAATCCATTAATAATTAATAAGATTTTGCATAACTAGGTTTTAAAATGTGACATCAACATATAGAAATCAGCTAGTGCTGTCTCTCAGTGGTAGTGTGCCTAGAAACTTGTTGTATCTCTATGCTTTTGTCATGGACAGTCTGAAAATGAAACCAAGAAGCAATTCTACGCATAATAGTATCAAATAGAACACAACCCTAGCCATGTGCTGGTGGCTCATGCCTGTAGTCCTAGCTACTCAGGAGGCTAAGATCAGTGCATGGAGGACCAAAGTCAGCCCGGGCAGCAAAGTTCTTAACAACCAAAAAAAACAGAAGTAGAGCTGTCTCTCAAGTAATACAGTGCCAGCTGTGAGTAAAAAAGCTCAGGGACAGTGCATAGGCCCTGAGTTCAAGCCCCAGGACTAGCATAAGTAAGTAAATAAGTAAAGCCCTGGGCTGGGATGTAACTCAGTGGCAAAGCATCAAGCACAACATCCTGGTTTTGATCCCCAGTTCCAAAATAGGAAAGACCAAAACCAAAACCAAAACAAACCCAAACACCCCCCCCCCACGCACACCAATTAAATAAAGCCTGTAGGAATAAATTTAACAAAAGAGGTACAAGATCTTATTCTGCAAACTACAAAACACTGGAGACTTATTTCAGTGGTAGAACGTTCACTTAGGGTGCATGGGACCTGGGTACAATCCCCAACACCACCAAATTAAAAAAAAAAAAAAAATATATATATATATATATTACATACTAGTGAATGATTCCCACTTTATGTTGACTCTGTGGTTGTTTTGAATGTTTAACTTCCTTATCCTAGAAGCAGGATTCAATCACTCTTTACAACTATTTCACTGCTCCACCTTGCCTTATTTCTCAATGTAATCCATCTTTGTTATCTGCCTGGTATAACCGGATACAACCATCTCCGGGTGATTACTTCCCTGTGGTCAACTCAAACAAAGTTCAGGTAATAAAAACATTGCAGCTGTATTGGAATCCAGTTGGTCATAATGTTTGTTCAGGGTGTGACAGCAATTAAGGACAATAGCTCTTTTGAACGGTCTGATTTAAAGAGGTATTCCATCTATTTAACTTGCACCCCACCTTCCACCTGGACTACCCAGACATGCATAGGTGACCACCCCTTAGTCTGTGACTTGGGAACTTGTCACTGTGGCTGCCCTAAATCCACCAAGTAGAACTTTTAACGTGAAATCTGCTTGAGTCACACTCTGGACCCCAGTGAAGGCCTTGGCCCCATGGGTCCTTTAGTTTCTTTCTTGCTCTTCAACCCTTTGTTGAGGACTAGTGTCCCAAAGGCCCACTCTTTTCTGCTGGTCCCAAGAGGTATGCTGCCCTCTTCCCTCAGGATCTGGTATTTCATGTACTATATTGGGCTCTCACCTGAACCTAACCTCCTTCTTGGTCAGAACTCAGACAGCTACTAATCATAGTAGGGAGAAACTGCACATTGGTCAGACGCGCCACAAGGGCATCTCTCAGTATAGATATTTCCCGAGATCACCCAGTCAACGTGTCATGTCCTCTGATCACAGACACTTAGGCATTAGAATGTCCACCAGGATATGGAGAAGCACACTGTGAAGGTACACTGTGAACATTCATGACCACCTCCTGGGAACCCTGTCTGGGCAGGACTAGAGCTAACATTCACTGTATTAAGAGACCTCATTGGCCTGGCACTGATGGCTCATGCTTGTAATCCTAGCTATTCAGGAGGCTGAGATCTGAGGATTATGGATGGAAGCCAGCTGGTGCAGGAATGCCTGAGACTCTTATCTCCAATTAACCAGCAAAAAGTTGGAAGTGGAGCTGTGGCTCAATTGGTAGAGCACTAGCCTTGAGCACAAAAGTTCAGTGATAGCACTCAGGCCCTGAGTTCAAGCCCAGGCTTAGCATAAATAAAAGACCTCATTAGCAAAAGTATCTATCACAGCATACAATGAAATATTATTCAGCTATAAAAGGAATATATTCAGATACATGGTACAATATAGATGTACTGTAAAAAGAGTAAACCAGACACAAAAGGACACATAGTGTGTGATTCCACTTACATGAAGTAGATTCAAGACACTGAAAGAAGAATCAAGTGGTGAGGCGAGAAGGAGGAAAATGGTGAATTTTGTTTAATGGGTACATTTTCTGTTTAGAATGATGAAAGAGTGCTAGAAACTGACAGTGGTCATTGTTGCTCAACATTGTAGTTGTCCTTAATGCCAGTTAAAAGTAGTTAAAATAGTGTGTGTGTGCATGTGCACATGCACCAGTACTGGGCCTTGTGCTATGCCTTGGCTTTTTCACTCAAGGCTGGTATTCTACCACTTGAGTCACAGCTCCACTTCTAGCTTTTTGGGGGATAATTGGAGATAAAGGTCTCACAGACTTTTCTGTGTAGGCTGGTTTTGAACTGTGATTCTCCTGAGTAGCTAGGATTATAGGCTGTTAGCCGCAGTACTCAGCTTAACATGACAGACTTTGTTACATATATTTTAGTGCTGTGAAAGAAGTGAAATACTGACATCATACAACATGGATGAACTTGAAGGAAAGAAGTCTGACCACATAATGATGTAGAGTTTCAAGACAATGGACATCTTCTACAATTGACTGTGATAATAGGTACACAACTCAACAAACTAAAAGTTACTGAAATGGTTCCACATTTTGTGTATGTGTGTGTGTGTGTGCTCGCGCGTGCAAGGGGGGGGGAGGATGCAAATCCAGGCAAGTGTTTTTCCTCTGAGCCATACCCCCAGCCCTGAGCACTATTTTAAATGGGTAAATCATAACATATCTCAATAAAGTGGTTATACTAAGTTTTAGTTGCAGAGTCAGCTAGCAGAAATCACACAAAGGATTGACAGATCTTGACAATTAGAAGACAAATGGATGTCAAAAGCATAAACAAAATGATCCTAGGTGGCAAGCTGATATAAATCCATTGTAAAACAGATTCCCTGGTTGGTGTCCTAACATTAACCCTACCCCTAGCAGGACATATTTGATATATCCTCTCCAACAGGTGGGGTGCAAAAAAAAATCATATGCAGGGCGTAGTATGAAGAAGGTAGCTCGGCTCAACCAAAAGACTGAAGAAACATCCAGCAAAGAAGTCTTACAACTGCATTTTTATTTTCTTTTGTGAAAATAAACAATTGGGAATTTAAATTGCTCCAAAAAACCATTAAAAACAAAAATGAAATACACACAGAAGCACGTGAAGTGTTGGGGAGAGGGCAGAGGGTCTTAGAAACTTTGGCAGATTGTGCTGGCACAGACTCAGGTGACAGGAGCCAGACCCTGGGTCCAGGTCTTGCCTGTCACTCTAGGCTGTGAGCAGGAAGGTCTCAACTGGTAAGTGAGAGAGGAACACTGACTTCTTCATGGAGGAAATGACAGGCACCTTGAGTCCCTTTAAATATGGGGGTGGGGGAACCATTTCAGGGGACCTATTTCTCCAGCATGAATTGGAGGTTGGCCAGTATGGGCCTACCAAGGGAGAAGGGATGCTGGTGGAAAGCAATCAGGCCAAGGTGTCATCACACATGGTCACAGCCTTACACTGGGCAGAGGACAAAAGGGGAAGAGCTCATGGTGTTGAGCACATGGTAAGAACAGGCTGGGGAACAGGAATGGATTCAGATGAGGCACCAGGCAAGAGCTTCAGGCTCTGGTGACCCTGAACACCAAAGCTCAGACAGGCAGGGACTGAAGAGGAGAGAGAAGGGCAGATAGTAGAGAGGTAGAGAGAAGGTGTCTCCTGCCCAGATACGTCCACCACAGCACACACAGGGAGAATAACACACTACTTTTCAGTTCTCTTTCTTGTAAAGGTTTTTTTTTTGTTTTTTTGGTTTTTTTTTGCTTTTGTTTTTGTTTTTTTTTATTTAAAAAAAAAAGCCTGAAGATCAGCTACTGGTTACATCTACAAAATGTAAAGCACTGTTTGTTACCAGTCACTTTACAAAACAGTCCAGAGTGGTCAAATATTGACCAATAAAGTTTCCTTTTTTTTTCTTCTTCTTCTGAATGATTACTACTCAATGAGTCATGTGACAGCCTGCATAGATTGGGAGTGGGGAACGGGGGCGGGGGGGATGGGGGGGAGGCCGGCTTAGTGGGCAGACTTGGTGACCAAGGAAAGGGGCTGGGCCTGTAGCACAGGGAGAGCCTGGTGGGCATGGAGTGTGGCTGGGAAGGAAGGGGGAGAGGTGAGCAGAGCGGTGGGCATGGACCCTAGAGGAAGGGGTCGGGAAAGGAGAGGAGGCTGGCTACCCATCTGGCTGGACGAAGTGGCTGCAGCCTTAGCTGACAGGAAGGCAGCTGAGTGGAGAGCCAGCTGGGCCCGTGTCTCTGGCTTGGTGGTGAGGGAGAGGGGCTGAGCTTGCTCTGAGTGAGTGGCAGCTGGTGCAGCTGGTGAGGCTAAGGCGGCAGAGGGGGTAGCAGGGGAGTCTAGCATGCTGCCATGGGAAGAGGCAGGGCTGTCACAAGACTTCTCAGGGGGCAGGTACTGAACACATGGCTTCTTGCTCTTGGAGGCCAGAGCACCTAGGAGAAAGAAACACCAGAAAGTAAGCCACAAGTAGTACTGGGAAGAGCAGAGACAAGAGTCAGAGCCCAGGCTATATCCATGCAGAATTGGCCCTCCAAATCCATGGCTTCCACAGCCGTGGATTTAACCAATGGTGGATGGAAAAGATTCAGAAAAAAATAACTGCACCTGTACTAAATATGTAATTCTTTTTCTTTTTGTCATTTTTCTCTGAACAACAGAGTATAACAACAATGTACACAGCATTTACATTTTATTTGGTGTTATAAGGCATCTAAAAATGATTTAAAGGATGCAGGAGTGTGTGTGTAGTTTAAATACAAAGACAATGCCATTTTCTATGGGGGACTTGAATCTCGTACAATGTGCTTTAAAATCTTTGGTTTATGGTACAGTCAGGGAAGACAGAATGTATTGCGGATGGGGTAAGTAGTCACATATGGGTCCTGGTGTGAGCATGAGATGTGGGACGTGACCTGTATACCTGTCACAGTGTGAGCATCTCTGTGCTAGAGGAGATTCTGCAATCAAGAGATAGTATCGAAGCTGGGTGCAGGAAAATCCATGAGCCTGCGTATCTCCAAGTAACCACCGGAAAATTGAAAGTGGCACTGTGGCTCCAAAAGTAAAGCACTAGCCTTGAGCAAAAGGAGCTCAGGGACAGCACCCAGGCCTTGAGTTCAAATCCCATGACCAACCAAAAATAAAATAAATTTTTGGCACAAAGTGACTCCTAAACCAAAGTAAACTATTTTTCTTTTTCTTTTGGTGTTCAACCAAAGAAACACTAAAGGGAAATCTTACTCAACTGAATCCACCAATAGGAGGTCTGTACATCTCTAACATGCCACTTTCCTGTGGCCACAACCCATTTTTATCTTAGGCAGTCATTCTAAAACCTTACCCTTAAGATGTAACTCAACTCAACTAAGTGCTTGTACTTTAAAGAGAAAAGATTGAAGAGAAGCAGAATAACTGGCAAAGTCTCTGAATTTCTCTGGGCGTGTGTGTGTGTGTGTGTGTGCTGGAGACTGAACCTGAAACTTCACACACATGAGGCAAATGCTTCCAAGCCCCTTAATTGATCATCTCTAAAAAGGCAGGCCACAGCGACCTCCACTGAGTACAGCTGAGGAGCACTCCCCTATGAGGCAGCACTGAAGCAGTCAGAGAATCCATAGAGGCAGGTGTAGCTGAGACAGGAGAGAGGGAAGTAGAGGTCTGGGCCCTGGGCTTACCCTCTGCCTCTTGGACTTGCTGCTGTGACTGTGTCTGTGACAGTTGCTTCTCTCGCTTCCTCTTCTTTTTCTTACCCTGAAAAACAAATGGCCATAGGAATTGGTAACACCAGCTGGTCAGAGAGGAACTTCCTTCTTAGAAGGCCTTTAGGATGGTTTTCCTTTGCTTTCTTTTTTCTTCTTGTGGGGTGGGGTGGGGTTGGGGAGGGAGGAGGGCTTGCTTATGTAGTCTTGCTGTGACTGCAAACTCAAGACCCTCTGCTTAAGTGCTGAGATTACAGGTGTGTGCTGCCACACCTGGATGCAGAATATTTTCTTTCATTTCTTCCCCCTAGAGCAGTTGCTCCTGATCATTTTTAAGGAGCCTCTAGTCCTCAAACTGATGCGTCTATGTATCCTCTTATTCGAAAAAAAATATGAATGTACATTCAAAAATCTGCCTAGTCTCAGGGAGTTTATAGATGATTGGTGTTTTGTTTTTTTTTTTTTGGTCCTGAGACTTGAACTCTGGGCCTGGGTACTGTCCCTCGGCTCTTCAGCTCAAGGCTAGTGCTCTACCACTTGAGCCACAGGGCCACTTCTGGTTTTCTGACGGTTAACTGGAGATAAGATTCTCATAGATTTCCCTGCCTGGGTTGGCTTTGAACCACGATCCTCAGATCTCAGCCTCCTAAGTAGCTAGGATTATAGGTGTGAGCCACCAGTGCCCGGCACAGATGGGTTCTTGAGGCTTGCACATTGGTCTTTGAGCCTCAGGTGTAGAGCCTGTGTCTAGAGATCCAATTTCTGGGGAGTCAGCACTGTACCAAGTGTTAGGGAACCACCTCAACTGGGAAAAGGCACAACTTTGTGTGTGTGTGTGTGTGTGTGTGTGCGCGCAAGTGCGCACACACGCACTACTCCTGGGGTTTGAAGTCAGGACCTGGACACTGTCCCTGAGCTTTTGTGTTCAAGGCTATCTACTGCTTGAGCCATAACTATACTTCTGGCTGTTTTTAGTAATTGGAGATAAAAGTCTCGTGGACTTTCCTGCTTGGGCTGGCTTTGAACCTTAATCCTCAGATCTCAGCCTCCTAAGTAGTTTGGATTATAGGCATGAGCCACCAGTGCCTACACAGGGCACAACTGAAGTCTACCCTCAGGCTATCTTGAGGCCCTCTAGGGATTTTAAATTGTTTTATATTCCTAGAGAAATATGGCCTTTTCCCTTGAGTCCTTTCAGCGAACAAGCACAGCTTTGTTCTGCCCTCTGCCTCTTGCAGATGTAGCTCTTGGGGCCTGAGTGTCCCCCTGCCTGGCATTGACTCACATAATTGTCCCGCGCTGACCAGGTTGGGTAGAGTTGGGAATGAAGCTGCCGCTCCTTCCGGGCCAGCTCGTAGTATTTGGCCTGCTCTTCTCGAGACAGATTGTGCCACTGAGAGAGAGAGAGAGAGAGAGAGAGAGAGAGATAGAGAACCGATATATAGAGCCATCAGGGCAAGAGGCAGACCCCTGCAGGGCAGTGGGGGCAAGGGAGGGACTTACTTTTCTTCCCAGGATTTGGTTAATGGCCGCACTTTCCTTCAGGGTGCACTCAGCCACCACCTTGGCCCTCATCTCCTTCATATACAACATGAAGGCATTCAGAGGCTTCTTCACATGTGGCTTCTTCTCCTCCTCCTTCTTCACGGTGACGGGGGATTTCCTGGGGAGGCACATGGCATAGGTCAGCATAGGGCAGCTCTTACCCACTTCCCTGTCCCAGCCTCTCCTCAAAGTAGTGGGCCAATCATGACAGGCTTGGCCACTAATTTGGCAGCCCATGACTGCTTTCCCCAAACGAGCATCTTCCTCATGGAGTTCCCATGCTCCGAATCACCCCATACCATAGCCTTTGAAGACCTACCTAGTCATTTCCTATCAGAGAGCACACTGAGAGGAACTCTTCCAAAAACTGGCAGCTAGGAGGAAATGGGGTGGGGTCCCGCTGGGTGCCTCTGGGTAAGAGGACTTTCCTGGCCTTGAGAGAAACTTCGTCCTCTCCCGGCCTCACTTTTTTGTGAGATGACAAGGAGAGGACAGAAATGAAAAGTGGTCTCAGGTTCTCTTTCAGCCTCAAGGACACAACTGTGAAGTTTTTCTTACAGTGCAAACAGAGGCACTAAGTCTCTGTAAAGATGGGGGTACAGGAAGGCAAAAGGGGGCTGCATGTTAGGGGCTCATGCGCGTAATCCTAGTTACTCAGGAGGCTGAGATCTGAAGATCAAAGTTCAAAGCCAGCCTGGTCATAAGTCATAAAAGTCCATGAGCCTTTTATCTTCAATGAACCTGAGGTGTAGCTCAAGTGGCAAAAGCTATAGACTTGACTAGAAAAGCCAAATGAGGGCAAAAGGCCCTGAGTTCAAGCCCTAGGACCAGTACAAAAAGAAAAGGAGCCGGGGGAGGGGGCAAGGGGAGGAATGAACACACATTGAGGGGCAGGAGAGGTGGAGGGAAGCTGTGGCCTGCTTGCCAAGTGCCACCAGGAGAGAAAAACAAATGGCATTTGCGGCTCGGAGACTGGTCCGTGCTGCCTATGTCATTCCGTCCCCCCCCACCCCGCCTCTTACTTACGCGCTCACCGCGGGGCTCAGGCTGGGGGGTGCTGGCTCCTGTTTGACAATTGGGGAGACGATGGCTGGGTGGGGGATCCCTGAGGTGGGCAGGCCGGGATGGGCAGGAGCCACCATGTGAGGGGAGAAGCGACTGGAGACCAGGCTGTATGTCAAATGGAGAGAGATTACAACAGAGAGACACACAAACACGCAGATACCTTTGCCCCGGCCGAGTCTCAGGTGTGGGGAACACCTCGCCACATGCTTCCTCCCCACAGTACATGAGGCTCCCAGATCTGGCACTGGAAGCACGGAGACAATGAAAACCACAAAAGGTGCACAGGGCCAGAGGGACAGGAGCCAGGCAGAATTTGGTCATGGGTGACACTGGAGATTCCATTCTCAGGTGGAGCCACCCCCAAGACACAAGATCCCCTTTCCCATCTGCTCTGCCCACTCATTTCAGGGAAAAGTATCTTTTCTCCTTGTCTCTGGCTTTAGTGTCATACTCAAAATACTCATGCCACAAAGCCTGGCCTTTGTGGTGGATGTGGTGTCAGGATAAAGGGCAAAGACTGAAGTTCTTGTCTGGAGAAAGGAGAAATGAATGATCCAGTGGGTTCTACTCTACCCCACAAGGAAGGAAGTATGGGGCACGAGATGTCCCTGATAAGCAGGGGGCAGAGGAGGGGAACACTGTTCTTTTTCACTAACTGACAAGAAAAAGGTGGTCTCATAGTCCAGCCCTGGGACTCACCTGGACATTGAGGCGTTCATGGCAAGGGCAGGGTAAGGGTGCCGGAAGCCACCAGGAGGGAGGGAGTACATGGGCTGTCCTTGCCTGTGAGGGCCAGACATTGGGAAGTTCAGGGTTGGGATGGAGAGGGGCTGAGAAACAGGGGCTGGAAGGTGGGAAAGTCAGGAGCGAGCTGTGCAGGGTGAGAGCAGGGAGGAAGGAGGGCGAGAAAGATGGTAGTTTCCTTACTGTGGGACAAGCCAGCCGAGGGGATGGGGGATCTGTCCAACAGCTCCAGGAGATAGTGGGTAATATGGTGACAGCTCAGACGGGTGAGGGGGCCGAGGGATTCCTGCTTCCAAAGAGAGAGGTGTCAGCTGCTCACTCACCCAAACATAGCAACTTCACCACAAATGGGAGCTTCTTTCTCCTTCCCCCGAGGTGTTCTGGAGTCTGGAGGGCTCTCTCCTCCCTCATCCTCTCCTTCCATCCCCAACGTTATAGCCAGGGAGGAAAGACAAATCTATCTTCTCTCTAGCTACTCAGATTCCACCTATGTGGGGCTAAGTACCTCCAGATAGCTGTCTGTGAGACAGGAATGAGCATCTTGTAAGAGGGTCAGGAAACCCCCAGGAGAGGGCAATTTCCCTCATTCATAGAGAAATAAACTCTGGATAGTCTTGCTTTGAATCCTGATCCCTTGATCTAAGCCCCTTGAGTAACTAGGATTGCAGGCATGAGCCACTGGCTCTCAGCTCTTTCATTTGCTTCAATCCTGATGACGCTGCTGTGGAAGGGGCGGGAGGGGCGCGTGAGAAAACCACAAGGCTCACATGTGGAAGGCATGAACCTGGTGGAGATTCAAATGCATGATCTGAACTTATGTTCTCTCTTACCCTCCCCCCTGCCTGCGTGCAGACTCACCTGTCTTTGGATCGATCTCTGGGGAGAGGTGTGTAGGAGGGGAGCCGGGGGAGAAGTGGTCGTTGCTGTAGGTGATGAGGGGTGTCAACGGGTGCATGTGATGTGCGTGCTGGACAACGGGAACTTTGTTAGACTGAAAGACAGAGAGGAGACACTAGGAACAGGTCCAGAGGGGTGGGGAGTACAATCAGCTGTGATTGACTGAGTGGAATGTGCGTCAGGTATTTTCCATGCACCATCCAGCCAGTCCTCACAGCAGCCTGGGGGAGAAGTGAGGGGATTAGACGGTGGGTTCTCCATCCTCCCATTGACTTTCTCCAGGCCCCTACTGGCCTTCCCCTCACCACCACCACCACCACCACGCAGTGCTAACGTGTTTGGTTCTCAACTGTTCTGAGTTTGGTTCTGAACTTGAAGAGCTCAGCACACACTCGTAATCAACCCCTCTGAAAGGATGGGTTCAGGATGGAGATCTGAGACAGCAGACAGAGCAGAGGGTGACCTGGCAGACTTTATACAACCTGCTACCACCATTGTACTTTCTTCACCAAGGGCGCTTTTCATTCTCTCTGAAGCATGTCACCTGGCTGACCAATTCCTGTATTTGTTACACCCAGAACCACTGGATGGGAACAAAAATTTTATAAAACTAGGAAGAAACATTGGATTTCATGATGTATCTTCCTATCAGAGATATTAAAAGCCTGTATAACTTAGAATTGGTAAACCAATTTCTATTCTGTTGTGTTCTATTCTATTCTATTCTGTTCCAGACAGGCTTGCTACAGGCCTGGTCAGCCTTGAACTCACAATCCTCATGCCCCAGCCTCCTGGGTGCCACCAAATTATTCTGGCTCAACAGATGTTTTGGGCTCAAGGGAAGGAGGTAGTGGAGAGAGAGAGGAAGAAGAAAAAAAAAAGCAGGAGGAGGCTACAATGCTTGATAAGAAATGTACTCATTATCTTGCCCGTGTAATTGTAACCCCTCTGTACAGTATTTTCACAATTAAAAAAAAGAAAAGCAAAATACTGGTTTGGTTGCACCCCACAGAGCAGAGAGGAGCCCCAGCCTTGCCATTTACTTGCCACATGAAGTCCTTTAGTCTTCTGGGCTTGGTTTCCTTGTCTCTATGATAGGGGGCAATTAGAGCTTCTTGCCAGGTTTCATAAGGAGCAGACATTGTGCGTGATGCCATATTTCCAGTGTGGGTATTGCATAAAATGTCACTTTCTAAAAATTTTTGTTTCTGTTTTTTTTGTTTGTCAGTCCTGAGCACTTTTTGCTAGCACTCTAACACTGTGAGCCTCAGCTCCACTTCCTGTTTTCTGATGTTTAATTGGAGATAAGAGCCATACAGACTTTTCTGCCTGGGCTGGGCTTTGAACCACAATCCTCAGATCTCAGCCTCCTGAGTAGCTAGGATTATAGGTGTGAGCCACCAGCACCAGCTGTTTTTATTTCTCATGTTTAAATTATCCTTCAGTAGTTGTTCAAGGGAGTCTCAACATGTCAGTTCGTGAGTACCAAATGTCACCCCTTACATCATTCTCCCATCTCTCCTGCCACTGTCTGTGTGATAAACATCCTTACTGTTGAGTCAACATAGGTAGAACATCTAAGAAATGAATTCCAAGTTGGATGAAGACAGACGAGATTTGTTTAAAAGGGCCAGGACTCCAAACACCCATGTTCCTGTTTGAATTTTTCATTGTAGATTCTACCAGCCCTTTCCTTCTTTCCTTTTATTTGGACCTTATAATGCTAACGTTGATTGGCATACTTCCTGGAGGTGCCTGTGATGACAATGGTCTTGTTGCATTTTTCACAGATTGCACAGAAATGAGCACTAGAAAACCAGACCCTTAATATCACAATTGCTAGGTTAGCTCTACTGGTGGAAATGGACTTCACTTGGGCAATTTCCTATCATCTCATGCAGGTAGGCTCAGTGGATATACCATAAAAATTGTAAATTTTTTTTGTCTTACTGTTTCCACCTGTTTATTTTCTGGCTGTTGATGATGTCTTTATACAAAAACATACAACAGAAATGAAAGTAGAAGAAATGATTTATCCCTTAATATTGGGGATTGAATCCAAGGTTTCTTCTATATGCTAGCCAAGGGCTCTGCCACTTGAGCTGTGCTCTTAGACCTTTCATTTTTAGTTTGTAAGACAAGGTTTTCCTAACTTTGCTTGGGCTGGTTATGACCTTAGGGTCCTCCTGCTTCTGCTTCCCAAACAGCTGAAATTTAGAGGCTGAGGCCAGTACGCTAGGACTATAAAAAAATAATGTGTAGATCAGCTGTTTTTCTTTTCTTTGTTCAGTTGTGGAGCTTGAACTCTGGGCCTCGGCACTGTGTCTCAGCTCTTCAGCTCAAGGCGAGCACTCTACCACTTGAGCCACAGCACCACTTCCAGTTTTCTGGTGGTTAACTGGAGATAAGAGTCTCACAGACTTTCCTGCCTGGCTGTCTTTGAACTGCGATCTTCAGATTTCAGCTTCCTGAGTAACTAGGGTTACAGGTGTGAGCTACCGGCACCTGGCCTCTGTAGATCAGATTTCTAAAAAAAAATGCATCTGAATAATATATATGGGTTTCTACAAAGAGCTTCATCTACTAAAGGGTGCTTTTTATCCTTTAGACAGAAAGACTATTACCAAAATGAAGGTGATAAAATGACACAGAGCACATAAATATACAAATGACAATTTTTTTTTTTTGGGTCCGGCCGTGGGGCCTGAACTCTGGGCCTGGGCGCTGTCCCTCAGCTCTTCAGCTCAAGGCTAGCACTCTACCCCTTGAGCTACAACACCACTTCCGGCTTTTTTCTTTTTGCTTATGTGGTGCTGGGGAATCGAACCCAGGGCCTCAGGCATGCAAGGCAAGCGCTCTACCACTGAGCCACCTTCCCAGCCCCACAAATGACAAATTTTAAAAGACTAACTAGAAGCACACCAAAATGTAAGCAGTACAGTTATATTTTAAGTCGAATGATGAATGATTGTTTCTTTTTCTATATTTTTAATTTTTACTTGTAATTATCATCTACTATTTAAAACACGCCTTATGAGTAAAAGTTTTTTTTTTTTTAACGTAGGGAGCACAAACTCTAACATAAAATATTTTTTTAACTACCAAGGTATCAGTCCCTGGTCACTTTTTTTTTTTTGGTCGGTCATGCGGGCTGAACTCTGGGCTCTGGAACTGTCCCTCAGCTCTTCAGCTCAAGGCTAGCGCTCTACCAGTTGAGCCACTGTGCAACTTCTGGCCTTTTCTGCTTATGTGGTGCTGAGGAATTGAGCCCAGGGCCTCATGCATGCAAGCAAGGACTCTACCACTGAGCCAACCTCCCAGCCCTTACCATAAAATATTTATAAAACAGTCCCACCATCTAGCTCAATTATCACTTTGGTTTACCTCCTGTTATACCTATTTTGTACTCATTTTCTTTCTTTTCTTGGACTCCTTACATAGCTCAGTCTGGCTTCAAACTCATGGTTCCCTGGCCTCAGCGCCAATTTTAGTCATCGTTTAAAAAATTGTTATTATTATATTATATTATACATGTTATATTATTATATGTTATATTAAAGGTGATGTAGAGGGGTTATAGTTACATCACCCCTTCCCTTGCTCTTCTCTGTTTTTCCCTCCCATTCCCACCCACCCATAAGTTTCATGGTTCATTTTCAACATAGAATCTAGTGAGCACCACTTCTGCATCTGTTCACCCTTTGTCTTTCCACTTCTGTGCCCTCCGAATCTTTTATTTTTATTTTTCCCAGTCCTGGAGCTTGAACTCAGGGACTGGGCACTGTCCATGGGTTTCTTTGGCTCAAGGCTAGCACTCTACCACTTGAGCCACAGTGCCACTTCTGGACTTTTCTGTTTATGGTACTGAGGAATCAAACTCAGGGCTTCATGCATGCTAGGGAAGCACTCTACCACTGAGCCACATTCCCCTCCCCCTCCCAATCTTTTAATTAAATTTTATCTTTTAGAAAACGTTTTTATTATTGACAATAGTGGAGTTTCCTTTCCGAGCTGGCACTCTACACCTTGAGCCATGCTTTTACTTTTGAATCAGTTTATATTTGTAGTCAGTGGGTTTTGTTGAGGTATTTCTGTACATGCATACTGTACACTTTGAACAAACTCATTTCTACCATAATCCCATCTCCTGCCCCGACCCTTGGTATTTTTCTGTAAAGGTAGTCTCACTATGTAGAATTCAAAATCCTCTCCAGACTCAGCCTTTCAAATGCTGGGATCATGGCATGCACCACCTTACCAGGCTTCACCTATCAATTGTTAATTTACATCAATTTACACCATTTATAGCCATTTTCAACAGGCAGTAGTACTATGATGTTCTGACTGCCTATATGCTGTTGAGTTTGGCCTCTTTAGAGGATGGCAAACTCACACAAAATAAGAAACTGTGGTTACACTCAGAAATCTAGGTTATCGTGCCTAAATGCTTTATGAGTTACTAGTAACTGTCTCCCACTAGGTGGCAGCGTTGTTCAGAAAATAAACTTGGAGGGAAAGACAGGAATTACCTACATGGGGTCTTAGAAATTGCTAAGGGAGCAGGGCGCAGGGCACCGTTGGCTCACGCCTGTAATTCTGGCTACTCAGGAGGCTGAGATCTGAGGATCTCGGTTCAAAGGCAGCCCGGGCAGGATAGTCCGTGAGACGCTTATCTCCAATAAACCACTAGAAAACCGGAAATGGCGCTGTGGCTCAAGCAGTAGAGTGCTTGCCCTTGAGCTGAAGAGCACAGGCCCAGAGTTCAAGCCCCATGACAGAGAAAAAAAAAAAGAAATTGCTAAGGGAAAATGGTTCTCTTGAGGCTGATTAGAAAGGTGGTTTACCTACACATACATCTAATTTGTATGTATTTCATAAACCATATGCATATAATTCTTTTTTTTAAATATTAAGTGAAAATGCCTAATTGACAGTAGTGTGGTTGATGTGGATATATGCAAGGAAGGTTGTATTGACAAGGCAGTATGAAAGTAACAACATGTTCACCACCAAGTTCTTGTTAGATTTGCACTTTACAACATATGGTTGTCTTATATATCTGTAATTCTTAAGATTGGTTTAGGAAAATGATAC